CAAGGTTAGTGTAATAATGTTAAAAGTGTGAAATATAGTATTTTTTTTTTAATTTAAATTTAAAGAGGAGTGAGTGTAATTTACTCTTATAATATACTATCTCATGCGTTCACATAATATTATTATGGATTGGGCCATTTCTCAAGTTCAATTCTCAACTTAGGATAATTTGAGAGATTTGAGGAGCCCATCATCATTGGTCATATTTGGATAATCTGAACCGTTTATTCTATAAAGCCCTTCGTATATATAATACATGAAAAAAAGGATTAACTTGATCTGATAATCATAATCTTTTCATTTTATTATTTTTAATTCTGAAAAATTTCGTATATATAATACATGAAAAAAAGGATTAACTTGATCTGATAATCATAATCTTTTCATTTTATTATTTTTAATTCTGAAAAATTAGAGGACAGGTAAATTTTTGAAGTACTTACGAGAGCAATGAGTGAAGAGCCTAATAAAGTGAGATGGGCACACACTAGGCACGCTGGCTTATTGGTCTAAGGCTTCTTCTGAGGGTGCTAAAAAAAATAATTTATTAGCCAAAAATAAGTCTATAAAAATTTAATGCTAAAAAAATTAATCTATTTATTAGATTCTTAGTTGCCAAGACGCTAAACTGTTTTGAATTCTAACTCAAAACCTCTTTTGAATTGAAGGCTTTTGAAATGAGAGGCGTAAAATGTTGATTGTACAAAGAATTAAATTGCCAAACACTCTATAATCTACCATCTTAAATCCTAAATCCTAAATCCTATATTTTCAAATCCCAAATTCTAAATCCTAAATCATATTGAAGAGCCAAACTCTTTATATAATCTGTCATTTTGAGTTGAGTACTAATTGAAAAGTCAAAGATTTCTATACTTAAATCTCTTTCTCAAACCTTCTCAATAAACTCTCAATCACACATTCGTGTCTTGAAATTCACACCATATTTTGCAATTGGAAAATTCGTTAGGACAAAAAACAAGACAATAGCATTTCCAACATACAAGCCCTTTTTTTTTGTCATATTTATCCCTAACATGCCACAAACACAAGGAAGTGTTTCTTTATTACAATTAAAGAGACAACAAACACAAACACAAACAACCATAGAAAAAAAAAAGAAAAGAAAGAGAAGAATTACACGCAGTATAACCATAAGAAAGTTGGAAATTTTCTATTCGAATCTCACAGTACCTTATTCTAAGACCCCTCTCCACCATATGAGGTCAGACCAAAGAGATAAATGAAAACATCAAAGAAAACTAGCAAAATATCCCCAGATATAAACCTTAGATCCAAAAAAGAAGATCTGGAGAAGTTGGTCAAGTTTTGGGAGAAAACCAACTACTTATAGAAATCCAAAGTAATCCTAGTTTTGGAAGAAAACAATTCCTTATAGAAATCCAGATTTTGAAGCTCGCTCGAGTGAGAACCTTAACTCGCGTGATTTCCACTAGTGCCTTCGTTTGAGCCACAAACCCTTCACTCGAGCGAACAATGAGCTCTTTCAGGTTTTTGTATAGACGCGATCCTTCGCTCGAGCGAGGACTTCTTAGCTCGAGCGAGCAAGGGCAGACAGCCAACTTTGAACGTAATTTTGCATTTTGCTTCAGGCGCGAGCTGACCGGACAGCTCGACCCCCGTCATAATCAGTGAAGTGGCAATCTTGAAAACATTAACATCACAAACTTCTCTGCAAGGCTCGATTCGGGTTGGATTTGCATCTAAAACTCATATCCTCATTGAAATATAAGAGCGAATAAAATTACAACTGAAAGGAGTTTTGTCAAACGAGATTGCCAAGAATAAAAACCTAACAATCTCCCCTTTTGGCAATGCCATGACAAAACACATCTATCAAATAAAATCCTAAACACCTCAACCCTTACAGCCAATAAAAACACACTTCTTTCTTAAGATCATGATCTGCAAAACAACTATTAGTGCCACAATCTCCAAAACAACTATTAATCCCACAAGAGTATATGAAACTAAGACTCATGAAAAACAACTCTCAAACAACAAAAGCAAGATCATAAATCACACAAGCAATGATATGACGATGTAAATACCAGTAACATGCAAGAAGGAAATAATTAGCAAACAGTGCATAGCAACATGCAAAACAACTAAAGTCAATCTTCCTTACCAAACAAATCAAAGTGTTCATGCTAAACAACTCTTGTAATGAAAAACCAAACTCTCCCTCACTAAAAATAACCACAAACACTGAAAACAGTGAACAAGAAGAAAAAGACAAAAAATAATATGGTGGAGCAAGCAAGAAATCTCAGATTTGTACCTTAGAACACATAAGATTATCCAAGAAGCACAATTACTAGTAAACACAATGTGCACAGTCTGTAGAAAATTCCTCATGAAAGAAAGTGATTCATTATGTGAAAGGCATAGATCCCATGAGAAAAGTGTGTGTGTGACTCTTGGAGTTCGACAAACACTAAATTCAATCCTAGTAGTGATCTGAAAGTTGGACCTCTGACAAGAGAATCTAAACATAACACAGGAAAGTCAAACCACTAGGAATCAGGGGGTATTTGGTGAGTAAAAGTAGAGGCTCCTCCTCAATCAATGAATCCCTTTTTTTTTTTTTTTTTTTCACATTTTTTTTCCTTTTCTTTTGCACATTTCCTTTTTCTTTTTCTTTTTCTATTGCACACTCATTGGCAGCTGACACGCTCAAGAGTATGGAAACCGAATTAGAGAAGCATGGATATAATAAGGATAGCCTGGTTGGTGACTTTGAGGTAGCCTTTTCCTCATGGCTGGACTACAAAAATAGAGGGGAAAGCCGTGGAGATGCAAAAAGATGGACCACAGCAAGAAACAGACTCTCACTGCTCGCTCTAGTATTGAGACTGAATATCGAGCTCTTGCAGATACTGCCCAGGAACTTTTGTGGCTCCAATAACTTCTTGTTGACATGGGTGTAGCTTCTACTGACGCTACTTCTCTCTATTGTTACAATTAAAGTGTCATTCAGATTGCCCATAATAATGTCTTTCATGATCATACTAAACATATTGAGATCGACTGTCACTTGATCCAACAGCATGTTGCTCGTGGCACAGTCCATCTCCATTCTATAACTTCTACTGATTAGCCTGTTGATATCTTCACCAAAGCTCATTCCCCTAGTCGTTTCAGTGACTTAGTTTTCAAACTCATGTTGGTTGATGTCTATCCACCTTGAATTTGCGGAGGGACTGTTAGTGTGTATATATAGTTATATATTGTATTATGTATATAGATATATATTAGTTGATGCCTTTCCTAATATATAGATATGTCAATCCTAATATATAGATATGTATTAGTTGATATCGATCCTATTTAGTGTATATCTTCTCCTCCTATATCTATAGAAGTCATTGTACTTGGTTAAACAATAATAAAGAATATAGAGCTTATTCTCTTTCTTTACAAATTCAACAAACAGGATTAACAGTGCAAGATTAATAATTCTATGAATTAGTGTATGATTAGTTATTCAATTAAATTAGTGAGATAATCATTTATTATGAATTTATTTTGCTTTTTTTTTCTTTTTTTTCCATACTTAAAATTATGATCTCAATCCCTCACAATATGAAAAAATCGCCAATTTTATCATATTGAATATTTGCCGCACATATAATCTGGTTAATAAAATTTACAATCAAACATGAGATTGTAAGTTTATAAACTTACAATTTTAATTGTATGCTATAATCCTACTAATCAAACATGCTCTTATTTTATAATGCTCAAAAAATTAAAATATAAAAATTTTAAATATAATATTACAATTTATTTATTTAGTTTGTATATGTAAAAAAAATTAAAATATTATAAAAAAAACTAAAAATCAAAATTTATAGAGACGGTGAGCTTTGATTTTATTTTCAAGCAACCAAGCTATTCACGAGAAAAAATAAATATACATAAAAAAATATAAAATAAAAACTCAAACCAGAGATTCAGGTCTAAATCCCAACAATATATAGATTTGACTCAGGAGAAATTTATATTGAAAGTTAGAGTTTTGAAAAAATAATTATAAATCAGAAAAAAAAATTATAAATATTAATAATTATAATTATATTTTTTTTATCAATATATAATCATTTTTTCAAAATTTCACTAATTATTCCAAATTTATATCAACATAATACTAGAGGCCATTGAGTAACATTTACATTTGTAATCTTTTTATATTTATAAAACAAAATTTAAAATTATAGAAAATTTTATTTAAGTGAATTTTTTGTTACAAAAAATTAAACAAAAAATTTATAAAATTTACTAAACTATTGTAACAAAAAAAATTATTTTTATTTGTTTCAAATACAAATTTTCATTCCTTCTTCTTTCTTTTCCTCCCTCCATCACTTACCACCAACCACCCACCATCTTCAGCCATCGTTGTCGAAAACCTCCTCCTACCACCACTATTGTCAACCTCCTCTGGTCACCACTTCCGGATCGACAACCACATCTAACCACCACCAACTATCTGCCCTCTAGAAGTAGGTTAAAATTTAATCTTTTGACTTTTTTTTTATTTTTTTTAAAAAAATTTGTGTAAAAAAATAAAGAAATGATATAAATTTAAAATAAAAAAAATCATAAAACTAAAAAAAAAAAACTTTTAACCTCTTTGCCAAAAGAGGCTAATTTCAGCCACGAAAAATGTTTGGGACCCCCACAAAAAGAGGACCCCCATGACCCCTACTGATGTATTGACCATTGATGTGTTTGAATTTTTTTGGGAGTTGTGTCTTACAGTGACATGAATGGTTCAGATCACTTTGAGTTGTGAGTATTGTATTTTGTGGGGTCTCTATCATTGTTGTTTCAGCCACCGTATCTAACTGGCAATCACCTTTTTTTTTTTCTTTTTACCAAAATATTTTATTTCTATTTTTATTTTTATTTTTATGAAACAGCACCAAATTCAAAAAGTAAAAAACATTAAACGGTAACACCACAAAACAAGTCACCTTTTTGTCAACATAGTCAGCCCAGAACCTAGCTTGAGCTTTCTGGTAAGGATCAGAGGGCAACAATGGAGTTGTCTCATTCCAGACCTCATCGATGTACTCGACAATAATGAGGGACTCACAAATCGATTTTCCGTTGTGAATCAAAACCGGGATTTTCTTGTGAACGGGGTTCATCTCAAGAAGCAGTGAGCTCTTGTTCCTCAAGTCCTCTTCCTTGTATTCATATTTAATGCCCTTCTCAGCCAGTGCTATTCTCACCCTCATCCCAAACAAACTAGGCAAGGCATCCAGCAAAACCACCTTATTATTAGCCATTATAACTTATGGTTAGTGATAAATATATGGCAAAGAAGAAGACAGAAAAAGAGAGAAAAATAGGAGACAGACTGTATTTTCCACTGTGTTCAACACCTTATTACATAGGCTAGGTGGAGTGGTGATGAACAATGGGTAATGTTAGATATATCAAATTTTTTATCAAATAAATGATTAAATATCTTATATGAATGTAGGATCTATATTTTTAATTAAAAAAATCAAAGAATTACTTAGAAAAAATTGTTTCCAAACTACCTCTAAATCCACAACCACACATTTGTTTTTTTGTTTTTTTTACAGTAGCTTTATTTGGGGAGAGATTTGGATTAAAATAGCCCACGAAAAAAATAAAATAAGTTAAAATAATTAATAAGACAGAATGTCACATTCAATTTATAATTATTTTATTTTTCTCTTATAACTATTAAATCAACTATTAAAAAAATTAACTTTTTAAATATAATTTTTTTAACCAGATTAAAATAATTAAAAAAAACTAAATAACCAATTAAAATAATTAGTTTCCCAAATAATGCGAGCATATCATATCACATACCAACAATGAAAATGAACAGAAGAAATGATAAAAAAAAAATTATAAAAAATACATAATTTTTTTAATCAAACAAAAATAATTAAAAAAAATTAAATAACCAATTAAAATAATTAGCTTCCCAAATAACGCAAGCATATCATGTCGCATACCGACAATGAAAATGAACAGGATCAACGATAAAAAAAAATGTTATAAGAAAATATGTGGCTATAATTTTAAGGGTAAATTACAATGACTCCTCTTCAAGTTTGATCTTGATACATATTTCTTCCTCAGTTTTTAAAATTACATTCTCCTCCCTGGGTAAACAATTGCATTACATATTACTCCTTCGTTTAATCTACCGTTAGTTAACTTAACAGACTAAAATGACGTCAACAACAATATTTTTTGTAATCCCAATTACGCCCTTGAGATTATCAAACCAATTTTTCCGTCTTTCCCATCTCTGTCTTTCCAAACTCTGTGAAAATGGGTCCAACCCCAACTTTCTGCAAATTGATCCAACTCTCCTCAACTTTCTCCTCCATCTAACCATGACTACACCGCTAATCACCACTCATTCCTTCATTCATCACTTCATCACTTTACTCCAGCATCAATGCATCAACCTCACTCATATCTGCTCTACTGTCATCATCGTCCACCTCTGCCCACCCCACCATAGATTCTTTGCATCATAGATTGTTGAAATTTTCAAGTAAGTCTGGGTATTTGGCTGTGGTGTTGCAAGTGCAGGTCTAGGTAAGGAAAATAGATGCACTAATGGGAGGGGTTTCAATATGGAGTTCCATGTGTGGAAACTTTATTTCCATTTATACTTTTTTCTTATTTCTCCCCTTTCCCCTTTTCCCTTTTCCCTTCTCCTTTCCTGGACAGACCCTCTCTTCTCCTTACTGATATTGTTGAGTTCCAGCTGTTTGATGAAATTCCCAACTGGTTGGGTGATGGATGTTGACAAATGGGAACTATGGCTTTTTAAGAGATTGAAATTTGAGATTTGTTAAATATTTTTAAATTCTGAAAAGAACACAACTTCCAATCAATTGCCATTTAGCTGTAATATTTAAGGTAATTAATTGGTGGTCATCAATTATACATGGAACTACATGTTTGGAAGAACTAAAGGTTCTGACTTTGTTATAAATGCAACATGAAGTAAAAAAAACAAATTTAATAGTCATTGTTATGATTTTTTATCCCAAAGATCCCCTCTCCTAAAAATTTCTGTTTTCATGTTTTAAATTATTCATAATTATTGAATATGGCTTAAATTTTAAAATTTTCAAATGATTTAATAGTTATGAGTAATTTGAGATAGAAAAAAAAAAAAAGTTTAAAATTTTAAAAATATTCACTAAAAACAAAAAAACTCAATTTTCAAAAAACTTAATTCCAAAAACTCAAACAAAACACACTGATTATGATTTTTTTTCCATAATAAACAACAATGAGATATTACTAAACTTAAATATTAAGAGTTTATTTAGATAAATGTGAATTTTAAATTAAAAGATTTGAGATTAAATTTTATACAAATTTTGGGGAGTAACTATTTTATAGGTGGATTGGAAAATTAAAAAAAAAGATACGTTGAGATAGAAATGATATATTTTAGTAGAGAAATTCTATAAAACATACCACAAAAAAAGTGTCTATCATATCTCGCAATTATGATCTTCGTGATCTTTAGTTATAGCACATTATAGTATTAAATATAATTTAGTTATAACTTCTTGTGGTTGTTATTTTAGTTATGACTAAATATCAAGTAATAATTAGTTATGACTCATTCTGCTATTAGTTATGACCTATTGTAATTTTTTTATTTTTATAATTGAAGATGTGTTGCTTAATTATAATTTATATAGTGGTCATTTTAGTTATGAATGGAAAGAAACATATGAAGGATAAACTCTACATGTCAAATGTAACTAACAATCCAATAAATTCTATATATTTATTGAAATTTATTATGTTTGTATGTCAATAATGATAGATATCACCATTATATTGAAATTTTTATGGATAATAATATGACTTATTATAGCCTATTTATCTTCAATCAAAATAACCATTATTGTTCTCATAATTTAAAAATGTCATTGACGTTTCACTTTAAATAATATTTTTTTAATTTTTTTATTTAATAAATATTCTTTATGTTTAAAAAAAAAAAAAATTCCAAAATTCAGGGGGACACGTGCCCCCGAGCCCAACATAGCTTCGCCCCTTAGTACAACAATCAAAATTTGGAAGAGATTCATAGTTTTGATGGTGTTTTTAACTTAGAGGATATTGGTCATATAAGGGTAAATTTCTTTTAAAAAATTGACAAAAATAATAAAATATGTTCGTTATTTTTTCAGAACTGAACTCCAGAACATATGACCTAAATTTGAGAACACAGAACCGAACATTATCGGTTTTGCTTCATACACCCAGTGGGGGTCGCGCCCCCAGTGACGTGGCGTGCCCCCACTGGTCGAAAATCAAAAAAAAAAGAAAAGAAAAGAAAAATTATTTTTTTCGGATCAACCCCCAGCTGACACCTCACTGGGTGTCACCCCCAGCTGGGGGTAGGAAGCATTTTTCTATATAAGAGAGAGTTGTAGTTGTTACAATTGAGGGCTTTTTTTTATTATTATTTTTTTTTACGTGGCCCATTTTGCTCCCATATTTTGTTGTTTACTTACTGTGTCACTTTTGGATCATTTTGTAATTTCCTGCCAAGTCTTTTTGTCATATTGATTTCTTAAGAAATCAGATTGACACGTGAAAACATGGCGCTCATTTTTATTCCCCATTTTGCCCCCTTAGTTTTCTCTATAAGACTCCACTTTGTTTTATCCGGTGTTGGATTGTTTGGTAAATTCATATCTGTACGGGAAAGAGATAAACCTTCTCGTATAATCCTGTTGACCAAGTCTGACCTCCTCCGTACGGCGTTGCTTTATCACCTGAAAACACAAACGTGAACTAGTCGGCGGGTGTGTGCCGGAAACCTCTCCGATGCCTAAGTCAGCAAACTTGACAAATAGACAAAGCTCTGTAAATTCAGAAAGCAAAGTTGTGTGTTACCTCTCCCAAGGTGATGTTTGTGAGCTTTTATAGGTTTCGTGTGGCACAATCCTAGTAGGACTTCTACTCCTCCATGTAGAGTCCTCCTAGGATTTATACTCCTGAAAGATAATGTTTATCCTTCAACACCCCCCTCACTGCTTAAACCAAGTGAGATGGTTTTTACCATGGCCGAACTACCACATGACCGAAATAACACTGGCTATGCTGAGCCGCAGAGTAGGCCGAACTATCCTTAGTTCGGTTCTTTCTTTTCTACTCCCTATCTCGGTTCTTTTATGTACAAACCATGGTATGTTCAAACCGAGCTACAAAGTTTTGACCGTTCTAACCACAATACGTCATGACCGGACTAACTTTGAGACCAGCCTAACTCCAAGTTGCTCCGGACCGGAGTAACTCTACAATTCTTGGTCCGAAGTAACTTTATCTCTCTTGGGCCGGAGTAACTTTATCTCTCTTGGGCCATAAAGTCCATCTCACAGCTCAGCCCCATTTATATACATAAATTACCCTCTCAATTGCCCCTTAATTCCATCTGCATAGCATGATAGGGATTATCTGTTCATCAGCCGAGCTATAGTCCCCAAACCTTCTAGCCGAGCTACAACCATTTAGCTTATCCTGCTGAGCTAAACTCAAACCTAGCCGCTCTCATCCAGTCACAATGTCTTTTCAATCACCAAAAACTGAATCGCTTTCTATTCCGTATACACGTGGCACGTTCCCATTCGCGGACGGCAGCTGTCAACGCCGTCTTCGTATTTCGCAATTTTTGAACAGTTCCCGCCCTTTTTTTCTCTTTCCACAAAACAAACATTCCGTCTTTAAATCACTCACCTACACTATTCACCTTCTTCTCTTCCCGTGCCTCTGCTTCTCCAACCTCTGAGTTCCCTGAGTTCGTGTTTCTTCGTTGGTGCTGTTGCTCTCATCTCCAGTTTCATCTTCTTCTTCTGGTAAGCTTCAAAAAATCTGTTTTGTTTTTCTTCTTTCTGCTTTCGTTTAATCCATTGTAGTTTGTTTTGTGTGCTTTTTGCAAACACTTTTTCTATCTTGCTTTGCTCTATACTTTCATGGAAAAATCAGTAGAACCCATGAGTATATGATATATCCTATAGAAAACTAGTCTTTGATCCAAAATCATGATGTGACCGAACTAGGATACCGTTTATGCTATATATGTAGATCAATTCAGAAAATAACCGAACTAGAACTCGTAGAAATAACAGTAGTTTCAAAAAATAACCAACTCCTGATTCACTTTAGCCGAGATAAATTCACCGAACGAAGTTTGAACTTAGTAAACTAGGAACCTCGGCCTTCAACCGAGCTAAGCCTTTGAGGCTAAGCCAGCTTC